TTTAAAAACTTGAAACCTGAAAAGGTCTCAGAATGTTTTTCAGGCTTCGAGAGTCATTCGCTTTATCAATATAATCTTCAGAGAGGTGTTGCGATTAAAGGCCCGTTTCCTGTGTTCCCTTGAAAGTTTATCTTTCTCGTGGAGATAAAAGAGTTCAAAGCTGTATTCCAGCCGAGCCGCAAGCAGGCGATTCACAAATGAACCCAAAAAGGGGAAAAGCCGGCGCGCACACTGAAATCTGCCACACGCGCGGTACCCCGACACCGCGGGCTGTACCACGAGCGCCGCAACGAGGTTTGGGGCTCTCGCCGGTAAACGAAATTTTTCTCCCACAAACCCTCTTTTTGTTCAAAGGGGGAGAACATTCCTCCCACTTTCTCCCTTGGGTTTATGGATTACCCATCAATAGAGGGTGAGTGGAGTTGAGCAAGCGGTGTGTTTAATGTGGTCTATAGGGGGGTGTGGGAGGCGGGCGTGTTCAAAGATTTGCATGAAGCGAACTACGTGACAGGCGAAGTCTGAGCACGCCCGCATAGCTGAGGGTTCATCAGTGTCAGCTGAGCCCTGGATCCCCTTCCCGCCCGCCTTGGCGGGAGGTTTGACTCCGTCCCCTCCTAGCTCCTCCTCCTCCTCCTCCCGGCATGGACGGCCGTGGGAGTTTTGCAAATCCAAATTCGAGATCTCTCATGTGTGCGTAAACTGAGGTGTCTAAGGGCGGACGAGCAACAAGCCTGCAGGTTTAATTCCTGCCCGGCGCGACAGATGATGCTACACCTTCAGCAAGGAAGAGGCTCCATCACCTGACGCAGCAGGTCCACGATGCTGCATGATGCACCACAGGAAGTCACTCAAAACATTATTACACTTTAACAGTAAGAGGATGTAAGATAAGATGGTCCTTTATATCTACACAGTAGAGTTTTAATGGAGGGATTTGGTCACCTACATGCAGCGCTACGGCTTTAATGGCTTCGAGGTGTTCGGCAGCCGCTAACTGGGTCCAATCTGGCACACGAACCGCTCAGCGGCACCACCAGCCTGCAGCTTACACGTGATCCCACGTGACTCGACTTCAAGAGTCGCCTTTCAAATCACTTTCGGTATTAAAAAGCAAAAGCAGACCTCGAAAGTGTTGCAGGAGTTTTGACCTTAAACGCATTTTCCCTTCCCACTCTTGTGCCCGTAAACAACGCATTTGGCCAATTCATCAGCCGAGACTGGAACGCTGCCCGCGACGGGTCAGCTCCTGCCGGGTGCCGCAGGAGCGCTCGAAGCGCTGGAAGCCCATTGGGTTCCCTCCTGCCGCTCCTCCCATCGTGGTCGGGCATCAAAACAACCATTCGTAGCGAGCAGGGAGCCTCTTTCGCGCTCTCCAAAGGCATCGCCGCAGTGTGCAAATAATGCACTTTGCAGGATCGACGCCCCCTTGGTATCTTCAGCGGGGATCACAAGAGTAAAAGTACAAGGTGGACATGGACCCGCCTTCAAGAAAGATGGTCCAACTGCCAAGAAATCTGATTAAATAGTATTCAATAGAAAAAGGTAGCAGGCACCCAAAAGGTTGGTGAATAAATTCAGCTGAGGGCAAAATAATCCTCATTTATACACAATTCTTTCGCAAATGACCCCAAACGCAAATGTCAATTATCCCTGCGGCGAGCCTCCGATCCACGGAGCACATGCCGATTTAGGGAGGCACCAGTGAAAGAAAAGGGATTAACATACCAGGAAACAAAACATCTTTGTGGAACACACTTGGGAGGTTTGTCCGGGGTTAATCCCGGTCAGGCAGGGAAAATACCTTCGACCGCGACGACGCTCCTCCAGACCCGATCCCACAGGTTGGAGCTTGCTGGAGTCCTGCGAACGGCTCGGCCGGAGTGTCGGGATATGAAACGGGACCGTTTGTGAGCGCAGAGTTTGAGTTTATCGCGGCAGATGCCTTAAAAATAAAAATTTTAAAAAATTTAAAAAGGGAAGAAAAGGAAGTTCTCAGTTTTCCATCAGCTTCTTCTCATCAAACGGAAGGAGGCTTGTTGTCCAGTCAGGAGACCGACGTATATTGTGACAAATATGAGGCTACAGCCACCAGCTGAGCTTAGCTTAGCTTAAGGAACTGAAACGGGAGGAAACAGAGCGCGGTTCCGTCCAACGGGAACAAAATCCACCTTCAAGCTCCCGAGTGGCATCTGCTCGAACAAAAAACATTACAAAAACTTCAGTTTTAAAAGAGAAATTTAAAGATTTGTGATCTTAAACTAGCAGAGTGCCATCATCTAAAACACAAATAGTTTTGCGTTGTGTTAATTCGATAGCGGGCCTCCAGAGAACGAGCCTTTCCTCCCATAATGAACACAAACACACACGCGAACGTCTCCGGCATCATCGAGACGGCGGGAAGCCGACGACACAAACGTCTACAACCCCCCCCGACCCCAAGACCCCAAGACGCTAAGCCTGTAAACTCCAACGCGGACAGACTTATTAAAGATTTAAGGCGTCCTGCCAGAGCTTTGATTGCACCAGTAATGACTTCCTGGCACATGTGCGAACAATGCGAGGTCGCGGCCTGGCAGCTGCCCCGGGAGGATTCCCACGAGGCCGCGCTTTTCTTTTCTGTTTTTATTAGTTCTCCGGGTGAAATGTTGTTGTTGTTGTTGTTTCAGATCTTCCATTATGCACAATAAGAGGTTTGCTTCGATCTGGCAACAAGAAGAGAGTCTTCATGCGTCACTTCAGAGCCCTGAGCAAGAAGAACACACCTCTCTGCAGCTAAAGAGCCAAAAGACAACAAAGCAGGGAGAGCAAATGGGACCGAGGCGTGGGGCAAATGTTGCCCCCCCCCCCCCAGATGTTAAACTGCAGAGGAACCACCAAGGGCCGGTTCCCCCGCAAGAACTGCACAGCCGGAGAAGAATTCGGGGGCTTGACGAGCTACCCGCTCAGACGGGCGGAAGTCAGTTCGTCTAAACAAACTCTGGAAGGGGGGGTGGGGTCATAATCACAGGGAGGTGGTGGTTGAGGGGGCAGCTTTGATCGTGTGGACGGAGGGGTCGTCTCGCCGAGGTGTTAATTGAGAGACCTCTGCCACACGTCCACAGACAAAAAATAAAAAGGGTGGGTGGGAGGGGGGGGGGCGCAGGGTGACCCAACAGCCTCGATGATGCGCCGCTAAACCCGATGTACCAACCGACGCCAGGCTGTGCTCCCCCCCCTCCCCCCCGACCGCCCGCGTCTCGGGAGGAAGGGGGGGGGGGGGGGAATGCACAATATACAGATTTAACACTAAGCTGGTTTAATGCTCCGCACAGAGAAGGCAGAGCATTAAATTAGCAGCATTGATTAGATGAGGCATTTATTATTGCAGAGTCTGGAGGGGGATGGGGGGGGGGGTTGTTTAAATAGTGTCTGCAGCGAAGTGATCAGATACAACAGCATCCAGATGCAAAACAAACCCCCTGCGCTGCGTATGGTACAGACAGAACAGGGCAGATTTCTATGGTTTAGTAAGAGCCGTAAGTTTAATTATGGCAGCACGGTGCAGTTGTTGAACAAATGCAACATAAACCAAGAATGCAGATCAATGTCACACTCAATCCACACCTGGTAGGATCATGAAAGTGATTCATAAATGCGGTACGGTCCCTGATGGACAGTACAAAAGACCACCGGTTCACCGCGGCCCACAGCAGGTTGGTACTTCATGCCCGAAGGAATGCTTTGTTCCGCCTCCGTCCATGAAAGCGCCGTCTGTAATCTGGATTCTTATTATTCCAAAGTGTGGAAAAATGGATTGAGGGACGTGCCAGAAGCGCCACACAGCAAGCCGAGGAGCTCATATTCTTCCCTCTTGACATATAGGATTTATAGGATTTATCGCTAAAAGAAAAAAAGGCCCGAGTGTGTGAGTGAGGCTCCGAGATGAAGAGCCCTCCGCTTGACCCCCGGCACAATAGGGACCACCACCCAGGTCTTTAGCCCCACTATTCTTCTCCCAAAACGCTCCAGAAGACCTTTCATCTGCCTCCTTCCACCAGTGGGAAATAAGGCGGTGCCGCCGGATCAGAGGAGGAGAGAATGAACTCTGGACATGAGCAACAGCCCCGTGTGCAACACGTCACGGCGCCTTTCAACGAGGACAATTAAAACGAGGAGTTGCTATGAAGAAAGGATTCTCTTAAAGAGGCCCGAGGTGAGGGTGCGAACCTGTGGCGGAACCGGATTTAAGCTTTTTGGAAATGCACGTTACCGATGAGTCATTTGGTGGGAAGGGATTACCGAGAGCGGCCTCAGCGGCTGGAAAACGGTTCAAAAGCAGCATCCTTTCTGAACGGGGCTTCTTCAAAGTTCAAACCGCGCGCGTGCACGTGTGACCCGTGCGTCCAGGACGCCGATCCGGCGGGAACAACAGACACCGGTCGGGCTGTAAAAAAAAAAAAAAAAAAGGAAAAAAAGGACCCAAAACAAACGCGCCAGATTACCGCAACAGACACCGTACGATTTTAACTATAATCCCGATTAAGCAGCAGCGCTTCATGGGATCGCGTCTGGTCGCTGCAGGACCACCTGACCCGCAACGTGCAACCAAGACACACAACACAACACACGCGTTTACGCGGATGCAAATATCAACAAACCCGCTTTAAAAGGACGACACAGCTCACACGTGAGAAGCTCCGTGAGTCTGCGGAGCGCTTCACTCACCCGAGAACAAGTTCGTCCCGCAGCTGGTTTGGGGATTAAAATGCGGCTCCTCGTCTCTCCTCCTTCAACGCGTCCGCCTGAGGAAGCGACCTCGCGTTAAAACTTCTCCTGACTTTTCCACTTTTAAGCCCGCTGCACCACACGTCCCGCCCGCTGCACCACCTCCACCAGCGCTCCCAGCAGCCTCTTTGTACTGATCCGCCGCCGCGGCGGCTCGTCGGTCCCGCGCGCATGCGCAGTGGGGGAGGCGGCGATAGCTCGGTGCGCTATGGCGGTCAGGTGTAACGCTAGCTTACCTGCTGCCACAGGTCGGGCTGCTTCCAGCTCAAACGAAGGGAACGTGAACTCTGAGTCTTCCGGGTGGGGGGAAGTTGGGGCGGTTTTAGTTGTTGTTGTTGCTTAAAGCGAGCGAGCGTTGACTGTTTAGTGAATTAACTTGAGGACTATTTAACGTTAACCGATGCTTGTTAATGTAACGCGACGCACTATTCGTAGAAATGTCCGCAGTTAGACGCACTGCATCACTATCTGAAGATGTGAAACATCTTTTAAGCTAGTTTTAGGAAAGTTAACTTAACTTCTGCGTTACAGGTAAGACAACCGTTCATCTTCCGCGCAACAATATAGTTCCTGGCCGTCTAACGACGTAGCTTTAAACGGGCCGGTTCTCGTTTTGGCGCATTAATATTAATGTTTCTTAGACGTGCTGCGTCACACAAGTGCAAAGTGAGGCTTTTTTGGGGGGAATAATTTTAACGAGATGGTTCAACTTGTTTTGTTACTGTTATATATTTCACACACACAGATGTTAAGGTCTACTGTAATTATTTATGGTATTTAATCAGAGCTGCCAACTTTTCAAAGAACCTTGGAGTGAGATTTTGTCGGGGGTGACCAAAATCTTGCCGCGCGCGCAGCCACACACGTTGGTGGCTCAAATATCAGGGAAATTGGGAATTCATTTGGCGTAGTACCCATTGTTGTACCCTGCATTCTGGTGGTTTGT